CTACCAAAGGTGTCATTTTCATACAAGCTATAAGTCTGTCCACAAATGACAAAAGTATACAGAAGTGTATCAGATACAGAATATAAGTCAAGATCCTCTTCTATATGTTGGCTTACTTTAAAGGGTCAAGAAGAAATGTATTATTTATGTTGAGATTATCTACTGGTGTGGGTAGAAAGTTTAAATTAGCTTCAAGAAATTTTATCTAGACACGCACCTGCCTATGCTATGATCTGGTATTCACTGCACAGATTAATTACAAACATTTCTTCTGTTCCTTTAAATATGATCAGGCAGATACAGAAGTTGGCGTTCATAGTGAGTGTGTTTCTTCTAAATGCCTGTGGGATATAAAAGGTGATTATTAAATCATCAAGAATTAGTTTCCAAATTAACATGCATCTCATACATGACTTGAGAAATAGCTTAAACACTCAGGTACTATGTAATTTGGTACCTAATTTAGTTAGGTATTGGTATATCTTATTTGCTTATTTTTGAATCTTCAAAGCAAGATTCACCTTCACAAATAATTGTCAATATGACTACTATGACATAGCACACTTCATTTTATGAAGATGGATATGAGATACTTCTCAGAGTTCTAAAACTCCAACATGACCTAATGAAAACACCAAATCTTACATGCCTTTTGTCTATAAGCCTTCAGGGCCTTTCAGCAGGTGTTTCCTCCAACAGCTGCCCCCCCAAAAAAGAGACAGTCTACTGGCATTCCTATTCAGGGTATGTCCCTCTAGGGACTCCTAGTGGTGACAGAAGTTCTTGTCCGTCTGGCTTTAGGATCCTTGTGAGATGAAGCCTTTGAAAAAACACCCAATAGCAACAGACGGCATGTATCCCCATAAGGCATGTGGACCCCTTACTTCCTGAAATATCCCTTCCTTGTTTATACTGGCAGCTATGAATAAGTAATATATGGTGAGCCCCTATATTTCCCTATTCATGATGGTCCACATATATTCTTCCTGTCCTACAAGATAGTTTGCCAAACTGACAACTTTTGCCAACTCATTTGAGTCTGGTCGGAATATCTATAGAAGATTTTAAGCATTCCAGTGCTCCCCTAATATCCTTATAGGTTATTGATTCAGTTACCAGAACTATAGCTAATACTGTGGAAGAAAGGAAGACTGCCATTTATTAAATAATTATATGCAGATGACACCACCCTTATGGCAGAAAGTGAAGAGGAACTAAAAAGCCTCTTGATGAAAGAGGAGAGTGAAAAAGTTGGCTTAATGCTTAACATTCTGAAAACTAAGATCATGGCATCTGGTCCCATCACCTCATGGGAAATAGATGGGGAGACAGTGGAAAGTGTCAGACTTTATTTTTTTGGGCTCCAAAATCACTGCGGATGGTGACTGGAGCCATGAAATTAAAAGACACTTACTCCTTGGAAGAAAAGTTATGACCAACCTAGATAGCATATTAAAAAGCAGAGACATTACTTTGCCAACAAAGGTCTGTCTGGTCAAGGCTATGGTTTTTCCAGTGGTCATGTATGGATGTGAGAGTTGGACTGTGAAGAAAGCTGAGCGCCAAAGAATTGATGCTTTTGAACTGTGGTGTTGAAGAAGACTCTTGAGAGTCCCTTGGATTGCAAGGAGATCCAACCAGTCCATCCTAAAGGAGATCAGTCCTGGGTGTTCATTGGACAGACTGATGCTGAAGCTGAAACTCCCAATACTTTGGCCACCTCATGTGAAGAGTTGACTCATTGGAAAAGACCCTGATGCTGGGAGGGATTGGGGGCAGGAGGAGAAGAGGATGACAGAGGATGAGATGGCTGGATGGCATCACCGACTCGATAGGCATGAGTTTGAGTAAACTCCGGGAGTTTGTGATGGACAGGGAGGCCTGGCGTGCTGCGATTCATGGGGTCGCAAAGAGTCGGACACAACTGAGCAACTGAACTGAACTGAACTGATGGGAAAGGTTGGCCTCCCCGGTGGCTCAGTAGTAAAGAATCCACCTGCAATGCAGAAGTTGCAGGTTCAATCCCTGGGCTGGGAAGATCTGGAGAAGGAAATGGCAACCCACTCCAATATTCTTGCCTTGGAAATTCCATGGACAGAGGAGTCTGGTGCACATCCATGGGATTGCAAAAGAGTCAGATACAACTTAATAACTAAACAACAGTGAATGGGAAAGGTAGTAATTAAGCTAATTATTTAATTTAATTTTTATTTAAAAATTTTGGCCACACTGCATGGTTTGCAGGATCTTAGTTCCCTGACAAGGGACTGAACCTAGGCCCCAGCAGTGAAAGCACTGAGTCCTAACCACTGGACCTCTGGGGAATTCCTCAAGCTAATTCTTGTATATAATCCACAAGGTAAATATCACCAGTCTCATTTTACAATTAAGGTTTTGGGAAACTGAGTGCCTTGTTTAAGGCCACACAGCTAAGTAGGTAGTAGAACTGGTGCTGGACATCTAATCCAAATCCCATTCTCTGTTACAATGCCAGACCCTGCAAAGAAGTGTCATCAATTGATCATGGTTGCCAAGACAGTTGTGTTGAGAAAGATTCTGAGGCCAAATTCAGGATCCGGCAAAAATCAATACTTTGATCAATGTGATACATATCACAGCGCAGGAGCAGGGAGCAGTAGTATGTCTGTTATCTCTACGTGGCCATACTGGTTATAGAGATGAAGATCTCAGAACACAAATGAAAAGAAATTTAGATACAGTGATGCAGTTCATGAGCAGTATTTTGACAGAATTCATCTTTCACATAGCAATTATATTTTATTTTTTCTAAAACATATTTTAGATGGTTACTTCCTTAATAATCTTCATGGGTTCATTTCTGCCTAATGAATAAAGTCTGAACTTGCTAGCCTGGTGATCATAACTATCAATGGTGTCTGGAATCTACTGTTCAGTTGCTCTGCTTCTCTGCCTTTTCTGTTCACAGTGTTCTCTTTGCCTAGAATGTTTACACAGCCCATCAAAATTACTATTTTTCAAATTCCAGCTTCCTACTAAATTCAAAGCTTCCATTACGAGGGCCTGGAGGGCCCTCTGTTAAGAGATTATGCAGAGTGGAATAACCAGAACTGATTTTAAAATCATGAGCCCTTAAATAATGACGTAATCACTCCATCCTAAGGCGGCCCATTTTGTGTATTTTCATACTGCTTATTCTTCATTTGTTAGAGTAGGGAAGAATGTTTACAACTCTTCAGTCTGAAGAGGAAGACACTTATGTCAATTCTTCTGCTTCCAGGAGCCCACGGAAGTGACAAATCTGACTGACTGATGTCCAGAATAGCAGACCACGTTTTACAAGTCATATTCCGTCAGTGTTCTTACACAGCACTCTTGTGCCCCACTATTTAGTTTCCCTTTCACTGTCTACTCTCAAACCCAGTGGGCCTTTGCTCTTCTTAATTATCATGCTGTAAGGAGAGCAGCCCATTCACTCTCTTTTCTGCACCCAAGCATACAAGGCAGGTCTGCAGTCTTTACTGTGAAAGAGGCACACGGACATGGATCTATTTAAAGATCCAGCTTTCTCCTCAGGTCAGGAGAACACACAGGCTTTAAGATTTGCATTCAATAAAGAAGAGAGGGAGGGCTTCCCTGATGGTTCAGCAGTAAAGAATTTGCAATGCAGGAGAGGCAGGTTTGACTCCTGGGTCTGGAAGATTCCCTGGAGGAGGAAATGGCAACCCACTCCAGCATTCCTGCCTGAAAAATCCCATGAACAGAGGGAACCTGGTGGGCTACAGTCCATGGGGTCACAAAGAGTCAGACATGACTGAGCACTTCTATCCAGCAGGATTTCTTCCATCTATGGGAGAGAGAAGGTTCCACTTCTGCCTTAGTCCACATTAGTACTCCAAGCTTCTAACAGAGGGCCTACCATATTGGAGGTTATTGAGTCCTCCACTAATCAAGTTGATACTTGATCTTCAATGGATTCGTAATTCTTTTTTATACTTACTATGGGCCAGAATCCTGGAAAGAAGAGTCTGAACTTGTTATCACTTGCTTGCTTTATTTGATTATCATTTCATGTATATAAACCTTATATCCTCAGTTTGAATACTAGATGGGCAGTATGCAAAGGGCTCTGTTTATTCTAAGCTTCATACTTTTGCTAACCAAGTGATTTACATTGTTTCTAGAAGATTTATCTCAGCATCCCCTGCAGTATTGCTAGTTAACATTAGCCAAAAGCATGCTTTCTCGGAGGCTTCCGTGGTGGCTCAGATGGTAAAGAACCTGCCTGCAACTTCAGGAGTCTTGGGTTCCGCCCTTGGCTCAGGAAGGCCCCCTGGAGAAAGGAATGGCCGCCCACTCCAGCACTCTTGTCTGGAGAATCCCGTGGACGGAGGAGCCTGGAGGGCTACAGTCCATGGGGCTGCAAAGAGTCAGACATGACCGAGCAACTAACACTTTGCTGGTCTTCATACTGTCCATGGCCTGTGGGTTGCTGTCTCCCTTATTCTAACATTGTTTTATAAAGGCTTCACTTTTTAAAGGCTCTGAGAGTGAATTAATAGGGGGTGCTTATGCTCACTGAATAAAATTGGTCAGGAGGAATAATTACTGAAGTGCAATAGGGCAGAAGCTGATGTGTAGACAGGGAATTTGGTCACACAGTGGTGTTATGGGTATCACGACTATCAGAGGTTTCTAGGGCATAGCACAAGGTCAGGAAGTTTAATATCCTCTTTTAGTTATACCAGTTCAGCAGCTGTGACAAATCCATAAAAGAAGAATGGAAGAGAAGGATCTAAGGAGGCCTAGTGTAAGGAAACTCATAAGCAGGTTTTGAAAGATGAGTAAAATTTTGATGATGGGGGGAAAAGGTATGTCAAGTGGAGGAGACAAGAACAAAAGTAAGGAAATGAGAAAGGGATGTTCTAAGGAATGTGTTCAGGAATGAATGGGAAATAATCTGGAGTAACCGAGACAAAGACAAATTAGAAAGGTAAGTTGTGGTCAGATCAGGGAGAGTTCTAAACAATGGTGTAAATTTGGATTTTACGACAAATACAGTGGAATGATACTTCTGAAATCATAATTCGTTCAGTAGCAGGACAGGCTGTAGGGAAACAAGAACAAAGAGCACAGAGGCAGGTTACAATGAGGACGCAAGTAATCTGGACGAGTTAACGAAGGAATAAACCAGTGCAGTGGACATGGGAAGGAGAAGTAACGTTCTGGGAAGTGATACAACTTGGGATCAGTTTGGATGTGGGGACAAAGAGAGAGACAGAACTGTAGTTTTGAACTCTATCACTGGATGAATGTAATCCCTAAAAAGGTACAGTGAGGGACAATATGGGAGGGGGGAGGGTAAAGTCAGCATATTTGGGGAATAATGTATAGCAGCTGAGATTGTTTACAGCTCAGGAGGAAGGTGACAAATAGATCTGGAAACCATATACACAAAGGTGAGAACAAAAGTCAAGGAATGGATGAGGTCATGAAGAAAGAGTCCAAGGTGAGAGAAAACAATATCAAAAGAACCTAGGGAGGACTTTCCTGGTGGTCCAATGATTAAGAATCCACAAGTCAATGCAGGGGACACCGGCTCATTCCCTGGTCTAGGAAGATCCCACATGCTGTGGGACAACTAAGCCCATGTATCACAACACCTAGAGCCCATGTTCCAAAAGAAGCCACTACAATGAGAAGCACACACACCACAACAAGAGAGTAGGCCCCACTCGCTGCAACTAGAGAAAGCCCAGACGCAGCAACGAAGAGCCAGCACACCATAAAAAAATATATCAGAATTTAAAAAAAAAATCCAGGGAAATGTCTACAAGGTAGTCAAATACATTCAACTGTTATTTCTCTGTAGGTCAACCTTAATTCTTTCAAGTCTTTTTAAAGTACTACTCAAATTAAAGACTCAGAAAAACACCCCTAACATATGATGATCTTTACTAGAATCCATGAACACAAAGCTATTCTCAGTATTCTTAAGATTCCCCAAACTCATTCATTAATGAGACTGTCCTATATTAAATGTGTATATTCATCTGCCAAATGTATAACTGTGAATGTTTATGTATGAACTGTGTATTTATGATCACCATCCAATAGTTTGATGGATTTCCACAGGTCAGAAACTTTATAAAACACTTAATTAAACTTACAGTGAATGATTGTGTGTATTTATATATATATATTGTATACTTAATAGAATCTAAAACCTTTGACCAATTATGAAACCTGACATTCACTGATTACTACTGTATAGTGGGCAATTAATTAGCACACTAATTAATGCATTAATGTGCAAGTATTCACTTAATCAATTCAGCACATTTCCAAATCATATAACAAGATATGACTTGTTATATCTTGTTCGGACTGATGTCCCCTATAACCTACCTGTCACTGTTAAGTTAGCCTTTTTTACTCAATTAAGGACCTTCTTTATACTCACTAAAAATATGTCCTCTTTGAAAGCTAGCCTGGCAAGCTCAGTAGTGTTCTCTTTCAATTGGCCTCTAACTCATAGATCTTGTCAGATTATCTTCCTATTATTTGTAAAAAGATTAAATATAATTGTAATTAATGCATCAAAGCTCATGTCCCTATTTTCTTTAAAGACAATACCAAATTTGATAATACAATTAAAATGTTTTGAACTGAAAGAAAAAACAGTGAAATATAACAAGGGTAACCTTAATTATAAAGGTGAAACTACCTAAATTTAAAATGGTTTTAAGGAATTCACAGCTGTCAAGATCACATAATTCTATATGAAAGAAAAAAGATTTTTTCCAGAAAACAGTGTAAAGTAAGTTGTCATAGTATATGATGCAGAATAAATGTTTAATCAAAATGAAATTAAAATAAAGAGACTAAACATAAAGTTTTATTTTACATTATAAATAAAAGCTTTGGGGCTATAAATTCTTGTTTCAACATCCTACAGATTTGCCTGATTCTGTTTCAGAATGTACATTTAAAAATTCAGGATGAAAACTACCAAGAAACTCATTATTATAATGTGTGGTTATGTTTTATCATCATTACTCATCTTTTATGCTAGATTCTATAATCCTGAGGGCAGGGCTATGTCTGTCTCGTTAATTAGTGTATCCACTATGTTAGAACAGTGCCTGGCTCCTAGCAGGCATTCAATAAATATTAAATGAATGAGGCATGTAAGGAAATATCTATTTGAAAATATCTAGATAATTTATTTATACCTATTTGAAAATATCTAGATAATTCCTTAAAAAAATTCTTAGAGTAGCCATTCATTTTTGTTCATTCACTGAACATGTACTGTGGACCTTCCATCCAGGTTCAATACTACAGTATAGAGAGAAGACTTTGCCAAGGAGAGAAGTCCAGAAAGAGCCGTGTAACCAGAAAATTACAGTACACTACAACATGGTACATTTATGAACATTCAAGTACTGTAGAAGCCTAGAAGATGAAGCAATTTACTTTTTACCTAGGTTATCTGGGGAGAGTTTCAAAGAATGTGATGTTGAAGGCTGACTTTTAGGAGTGAGCAGGAGTTTCCTAGACAGAGAAGGAAGAAAGTGTAGTCCAGGCAGAAAGGGAGGTCATAGAGAAGCCTGGAGTCCTCAAAGAGAGATTCCAGAGGACTAAAGCATATGACACAAAGAGTGTCAAGGAAAAAGATTATTTTCTTCCTATGTGAAGTCTGAGGTACAGGAAAAAAATAATCTACTATTTACTGATTGCCCAAGTCCTGCTTTTAACTATATAATTAATTATATAACACTATAAATATCTGCTTTATGATTATGTAGAGGTGTTTAAAATACATAAACCACTTAAGAGAATTTATCAAACACTTTGAGGAGCTTTCCTAACTACTCTAAGAGTTAAAGCGGAAAAAAAATGTTCATCTGTCAGGTGACATAAAACCAATTTCTACTAAATGTGCCAGAATAATTTTTCTCCACCTCAAGAACAGTTAGTCTTCAGTCTGTTCATTACTGTCTTTTTATAGTATTTTTATTTAATAAAACCTATTAAGACTACCATACAAATCTCTTTACTTATGCTTTTATCTTTTAACTAATCAATTTTTATATTGCTGACATCCCTTCTTCACCATTTGCTCATTTAAAAATTCATAGTATGTGAGATATGTCTCTGGAGAAAATGTCTATAAAATTTGTTACAGCTGGCAAATGTGTATGAGTCAGTGATAGCACATGACTAAATGCTTCACAGAAAATAAAATTTGTTTCTGTAGTAAGCAGAACTGTTTAAATGTTATTTATTTTTATGTTTCAAAGAAAATATATTGTGAAGTGCTGCATTGATTTAATACGCAACAATGTCTGTGTACACGCTGTAGAAGGAAAATTTATGAAACCTTTGCACAACTCCTTTAATTGAATTTTCCAAATCTCTCACCACACACAAATAATCAATATCTTCTGCAGAGAAAACCAGTCAGAATTATTACAGTCTTCCGTTTCAATTTTGTTGTCATCAGCACATACAGAGCACCTGGATATTTGTAATGTCTGATAGCAAGTTATTTACACCTCTTAAACACATAATTGCTATTAAGTGAGTTAAAAATCTATGCTTTAAAAGTTTAACAGATTATTTAAAAGATAAAAGCACCATACTTTTAATAATGTATAAAAAAATTAGATCATAGGAGAAATTATTTAAAAGGCTTTGAAAAGTAATAAACCAGTTTGTGTTTCCTTAAATCCTAGACAAATCTCAAGTAAGCAGTTGAAATATAGCCCCCAAACAGTGATGAACAATGTAAAGCACAAGCATTAACATTAATAAGAGGAAAAGGTATGATCCACATACAGGATAAGTGACAACTGAATTCGTATAAAGAGCTGAGGACTACAGTTGTACATTAATGTGTATTTGTGTTACCAAAACTAACATCACTATTTTTCAGCTCTAAATAAACTAAGAATGTTAAAAGCATAGTGGAATTTTTGTTGTTTCTTCTAAAATTCATGTCTAAACTTCAAACCTAAATTTTTAATACTGGAGTATTTGTTTGAAAAAAGATACTGCTTCATGTTAAGCTATAACAAAAAAAAATAAAAGGGAAGCAGTTTTCTAGGAGTAAAAGTATTTAGCTGATATGACAAATACTTTTTCAAGACTGAGTGGGGGAAAGAACAACATATTTTTAAGTTAAAAAATACTTCAGTGGGTGGTTAGAATGAAAAGGCAATATTAAACTACTTATATAGTCTTAAAACAGAAGGAGTTTAAAATTTGTCCTTTGGACCAAGAGTTAGAAAACCTCAAAAATCCTATAACGAAAATGAATTTTACAATGCAAGAAGACAGTAATTTAGTTAAAGAAAATCAGAACATGTATAGTTTGCGTTTTTTTTTTTTTTTAAGGCCAAAGTCAGAAAGTTTGAAATATTCAGTATTACAGACAGCTGAAACAATCAACTTTTTGGAACAATGTAAAGTTCAGATGGTTACATTTCTTTTAAAATATGCATATTTCAACCTACACAATTATTCTCAGAACAGATAAAATATGTTTTGGACTGAAGCTAAGTGTCTAGATTTCATATCTTGGCAAATGCTCTACAATTTGCTTACATTCTTTTAAAAAACATTTTGTTTACTGGAAGTACTAGTCATGGACAAACAATGATGGTATTTTCTAATTATCTCCAGAAAAAATGAAAATACTCAGTACCATATAATGCCACCTATTGTCTCAGGAATATTTGTATCAAGTTGTTTTATACAGAGGATGACTATGTAAAGTAAATAAATTTCATGCCTTCTCATGTGATGATAATGTGACAGTCCTTCTGTATCAACCCACTGAATGGTCATATGTTTTAAATCTTCAGCATAACAAATTAAAAATAATTTTGAAAATTCACATCCAAATATAACAGAAAAAACCTTTCATTTCATTATCCTTCTAACAGTCATAAAGCCAGTATTATTAAGGAAAGTGAAGATAGGCTTACTTCCTAAGTTAACTGAAAAAAAAAGCCTTCCTTTGTTTAAGAAATCTGTATTCTGTAAAGGAGGTCTTCTTTATTCACATGCTTTATTAAGTCATTCCCTAATTAGCAAGGTCCAGTTCTGAAAATTATGAAAATCTTAGTTTACCTTTTAATGTTAATGTGGATGTTTTAAATTCCCATGGAATAGGTTATACAAAGCCTTAGAATGTGTCTCAGATGTCTATTTAAAACACTAGAGTTTTACCTTTACAATTATACTTCTCTGACAACAATAAAAACTACAACTGCTGCTAAAGAAATTAGCAGTAAGATGAAAAAAATGAACAGAACTAAAGGATTAATTCAAAGGCAAAATGACAAAACAAATGTTGGAATTCTCCCTGGTATTGTCTATTTTAACTACTCTCGGAAAATTTGACAAGAATCTGAAGGAAAAAAAATCTGAGGGACATTCTTCTGATAGTGAAATAAATAATGTGTTTACTCTCATTTTCATTAATTACCTAATATAACATCTAAAACATATTAAAAAACATATTAGCTGGTTTTTATATTATGTAATTTCTAACTATAAATTTCTAATATTATGGAGATCCTTAGAACATTTTTAAAATTTAAATAATTCTGGGTAACAGCATAGTAAAAGAAGAGTAAAGTAGAAATTTCTGTAAAAAGCTTATGGTTAGATCGCCAAATAAGGAATATGTAAAGAAAATTAGTTTGTACTGTCAAAAAAACTAACAACGTGCTATAAAAATGAATGTATGAATAGAAGGGGGTGAAAGTTAACTTGGCAAAGAAATTTATATATAATGTGCATGTGTTGGTGTGCATCATCTTTAACCAAAAAAAAAAAAAAAAACCCACCAAAATTAAAAATATACATATACATTACGAACTGGAGAAAAAAATAGGGAAAAGCATTCTGTAAAAACTTTAGCTCAAATTCAAAGTAGAAAAGAAAGCTTCAATCTATTTTCCAGGCAGTATTAATGTAAAACTAAGAGGAAAAACTAAAGAAGATCTGAATGCCCCTGCAAGTATAAAGAGTCAATGTAGCTCTTGCCAAGAGACAGAAGGGAGAGCGCCTTCTATGTTCTCACATGTATCTTACCATATAGTTTATGTTATATAATGTATCTTAGCTCAGCTAGTTCAGTTTACATTTAGACCGCAGCAAATAACCAATGCTTATTAGAACCTTTAAAACATGATTTAGTGACACAGTCTCCTCTGCGCATGAAGAAACACTCAGCTCTCACGGAAAACCTGATAATGGGCAAGTCAGTTTCAATGCCTAAAATACTAGAGAATAGATTTAAAGCTGATTCATGCAGAAACATACAAAGAATCCCTATGTATTGGATAACTGAAAGGAGGTGACTGTTTTAACATGTGAAAATAACTTTAATGTCTTATATACATGTTTACGGAAGGAAATAATACTTTTGGGAAATTTTTTCCCATTAATTATTAGCAGAGACAGTTCATCTATTTGTTCTATAATTTTCCCTTCCTCATTCTTCAAAACTGTTGGCAAAAGCCTAATGTAAAGCCTAATTCTAATTAGCTCTAGGAAATTAACAGATTAAAAAAAATTTACACCATTGCTATTGAATATATAAAAGAAAGATTTTCTCTAGTTGAGATATAATAAATATTCCAATTTCCCATTATGATCCTCTAAAACTTGTCTAGTCAGTAGAGATTAAAATCATTGAAAGCCAGTTATACACTATGATCAAGATACACTGCACTAGAGAAATGATCTCAATCCTTTTCTGGGGAAGAGCTGCTTGTACGCACTTAAATTCTATGGATCCTAATGCGAGGCAGCTGTCCAACTGAAGGGCCCAGGAAGCCTGCTCAGATATCTTCACACATGAGTTTTGGAAGAGTTTTTCCATGACTGCTACCCTGCCATGACCCAGTTGGCCTCTGGAACTAACCAGCAGGAAATCCCAGCTTTTCCTCTTGCAAACTCATCGCTAACTTTGTTAAAGATCCTAAACACAGACTAAATTGGCTGAGTTATGTCTTATGTTTGAACCTGAGAGCTGGAATGACTGGGTGCTTTCATTTGTTTTAGGAAGACACAACACAGAAAAACACAAAAGACTACACTTTTTGACATGAGACTGGTTTTCAGTTGGAATCCCTGCTCTGACACTTCAGTAGCAGTGCCTTTTGGCAAACTACTCAACATTTTACTGTGTCTTTGTTCCTTATCTATAATGACAATAACAGCTATCTTGCAGGGTTGTTGTATAGATCTGCTGATCCTAGTGTTGAGAACATAGTAATTATTACTCCTCAACAAGGGGAAGTCACTGGTACTCAAAAATGGTAGACTAACACATGACTACCCACTTCAAGGCCTACCTCTGTTTATTGCCAAATGGCATTCATGTCAGTAATATTAAAATGATCCCTCAAGTTGGTCTAGTGGCTTTAATATTTTATAGTCTGTGATTATTTTGCTTACTAAGGTGTGAATGTGCATGTGTTGTGGGAACTTAAAAGTCTCCTAATTTAGTTTCCCATAGTGTGAAATGCTCAGAGGTATAAGAGTTCACAGTAGAGCAAACGTTATTAAAAATCTCAGAACACTGCCTACAAAGTAACTTTTTATATTTTGTGTATCTTTCTAAATCACCATTAAAATCTGCCATATATAATGCATTATTGCCCCATCTGTCTGTATTTTCAAAAAGAACTTTTAATAGAAGAAAAAACTATAACTCTTAACCTAAAAACTATATTTCAAAAGTTCAATCATCAGGAAAATTGATCTACTAGACATGGTCTTCTGCTAAATGCAGTATAATGTTTTTCAAATGAGATCGGTGGTCTTTTAAAAGAATACACTAGAAAAGGGCTCATGACAATTGGTTGAAATGGTAAAATGAGATGAAAGGATCTCTTTATACAATAAACTAAGAACTCTTTACCTTTGTTGGGAAGTCCTGAATTCTTCTTTTTAAATAGTTTTTGCTTTATTACGTTAGTCACTAAAGGAAAAAAAAATTAATATGGGATATTAATTTCTCAATTTGGAAGAAACAACTTCAAAAAAAACACATATTTTTCTAAGTATCAAGTACAAAATATATCTTATGTAAAGAATGAGAACTACATCAAATAAGCCTAATACGAGTTACCAAGGAACACTCTTTCCCTCACATTCAAGAAGAATCCCTGAAATAACACATCCTAGCAAAAGATATGTGGTTTTCTATTCTAAGTTTACAAACAAGCAATAGAGAGAAACTCACTAAAAACTCATAAATTAGGGGTGGGGGGGACAAAAAAAAAAACCAAACAACTAAAAAATTTCTCTTACTTAGTTCTTTTGTTTTCTGCATTTCTCTTTTAAAGACACATGATGCATGGGGGATACCAATGAGATTTTCAAGCTCTTTACTGCGCTTCAAAGCCTAAAAGAAAGGCATTTTAAATGAGTTAAGTTCTCTATAAATATAATACTGACAACTCTAGTGAAAATACAGTACACTGCTTCCTTTCTCTGAAAAACTTAAAACTCTGTGATAATGAAATTTAACTTTTTTTGGTAGGGTAACAACTAAAGCCTTAAAATATCTGAATAAAACCAAAGCCTTAAAATATCTGAATAAAACCAATCTTTTAACCACAAAGACAAAACATAATTGATAAATTTACTTTTCAATGTGAAGTCAGGTATTACTAAAATATTATGGTTAATTAATGTTTATGTAAGAAATTCTTATGAAAAGTAAAATGAATATATCTTCTGTAAACTCTTTCCAGGATTGGATTTTCTCCTATTCTTTTTCTAATGGGGTAACAGAAGTATGAAAAATTATATGCCAAAAAAAGCAAACCTGTATACTACTTAAATTTTGCATTATTTCCATGAATTCTTCTGACGATTTCTCAACTTTAGATAGCAACACCATGAATCTGTGAATGAAAAAAAAAATTCAGTAAGATCAAGCAGTTGAACACGGCAAGTCATTTTCAAAGCTTTAATTATTTTAAAAGAATCTTATATTCAGTTTTTATCATTTTCTTTGCATTTTTCAAAGTGGTAAAAGATGTAAATGTTCCTCTTTCAGCTTTCACTCCTTTACAAACAATATATTTTACCAACCATCCTATCCTTTGGCATTTCACTTTCTCATCACCACTAAGCAGTGGGAAAGAAGAGATATATAGTTGGCTTGTCCTTTCTCCTTCATATCATTTTGAGAGAACAAATACACCACCATCACCTTATTTACCTAGATCTAAGCCTATGAATCAGTGTTACCCAGTAATTTTTTTTTAATTAAAAAATAAGGTTTTTAGCTTAATATATCCCAATGCCACAAATAGACCAAGGTACTCTTTTAAATTTGAAGACGAAAGATATGTTTGGCCACATTCATGTGTCTATACTTTTTAAAGCTGCACAATATTGAACCTAGTAAATATACCAAAGATGATTTAACTATTTCCTTATGGTTGCAACTTTAGTTTCTTTTCGAATTTTAAGATCTCACAATTTGTATGTGATAATCTATACCAGTGCAGTTTAACAGAAATGTAATGCAAGCCGTATATATAATTCAAAATCTTCTAATAGCCACATTGAAAGTAAAAAGAAATAGGTGAACTTAATTTTAATAATTTAGTAATAATTTTAATAATATATTTTATTTAACTCAATATATACAAAGTATTACCATTTCAACATGTAATCAATATAAAACTTATTCATGAGATATTTTATACTTTTTTTTTCAAAATTCAGTCTATATTTTATATTCATAGCATATCTCATTTCAGAATAGTCACATTTTAAAAGCTCAGTCAGTATTATCCATTAACATTGGTGTGTGCTATAAAAATAAAACAAATGTGACATTAAATGTTCATACACAATGAATATGAACAGTGTGTTTCAACTAAGTAAAATATGTATATAAGTATGCGAGCAAAGAATGGAAAGAAAGTGATATGCAAAAGCTAAAAATTATGTGAACACAGTGGAATTCCAAGTGATATTTCTTTCCTTAAAATTTTCCTTCATTACTACACATTTTAAATTAGAAGTTGTCTGTCTGTCTGAGGTCCCAACTGCTTACCACTGGAACCTCAATATGAGACTACCTCTGAGACAGACTACCTCCATATGGGACAGACTACCTCTATATGAGAGAGACCATTATAAAGGAATTCTGGCTCCTCTAATTAAGCTCCAAAAGCCTGAAGGAGCAGGAGGATTTCAGTGACTCCCACTCAAGGCTGGGAACCTCCAGCTTACCCTACATTATACCTAAGCCCACTAAGTACCTCAGAAATACAAAGCTAAGGCAATTAACCTCCTCTGCTATGAGAAAGAGTCTTAGGAGCTCTTTTTCTTGCATCCCTTTCCTGGGAGGATTAGAGTGGCAAAGCCTCTTCACACTGTCTTACCATCCTTTAAGGAACTGATGCTGTTCCCTGTCTACCCTCAGGGAGTTGGGTGGGAAGGGCTGAGTCCTGCAGTGTTGCCATCCTGAATGACTCCAAAGAGTTCTGCTCAGAGAGATCGAGAAGTGAATGGCACCCCCAGGAGCTGTGGAATGTAAGCATACCCGATGAACCCATTAGTAAATCTTTCTCCCAAGTTAAGACAATTATCCAGCAGCTAAGCTACCTGTTCAACAGACTTGGAGTTTTTGGACTGAGTATCTGTTCCCAAAGTATCAAGATATCCTTCACATGCCTAAACTTGCCTCCATGGCAGGACCAATTGGAGTAGTGGACATTCCATCACTCTCGTAATTTTTAATTTCCTTTCCTCTCCTCCTCATTATACTTCTCGCTAGGTGAAATCAAGTCTTTTCCTCATCTCGATGGTAAGCAAATTCATGGAATGGCTTTTAAACTGTCATCCAACTGTTACATTTTGAGAAATTCAGGAAGTGTGTTCTCAATTTCTACATCTTCTGACTCAGTGGACAAGATGTCATAATCTTTGGAGATAAACAACTTGCTGAGCAGCTTTTGGGAGAAGAATGGTTGCCACTGTCTTCATCCTAGACAAAATGGCAATATTTATATTTAATCTCATGTGCTGGAAGCTGAATTTTTATTTCCAGTGATAGCATTTTCTATATTTTCAAAGGATGGTTTCAACTATACTTTGCTGTCCTAAGACAGCATTATTGTTTGCTTTAATATTATCTCTATGTCCCTTCACTAATTTAGTTTCTGAAAACCAACAATCTTTTATACTTGCCTGCAGAATACATTCCTGTTACAAAGTTTCCAACTTATTGTTGCCCCTTTTTTCAAGTTGGTGAGTAAAAGTATAATCAGTAGATACCATCACATTTTATAAAACACTACTCCTTTCTTAAACAGATTTGCCTCTGGCTGGACTAAACTGGATCAAACCCTTCATCTTATAATGACCACTGCAAACTATGCAGATGTTGATGGGTACTGCATCCAGATATCCAGTGACTGCTGTCTGTTTCATGACATCCTTAAAAAATTTGATCAAACCCTATATTATGGCCAAATTCTGTTGTACAACTTGAGAAATCTGAAATCTCGGTCTTCCATGAATGAATTTTTTTTTGTTTCAGCAGAGTAAACATTCAATGTCATCTTTTTTTTAGCAACTAGTATTTTTAAAGTGTCTAGATTAATACTCTGTTTTTAAAAAGAAACTATGATCCAGTTGGTCTGGCACAAGAGAAAGTTGTTCAAGTTTTGACATTTTTTGCCAGACTGCCCTTCCTCAGAGCAGATTCTTATGGTATGTTCACTATGAATATCCATTTTTATCTTGAGAAAGCCACATGCCAAAAATTCAGGATTTTTGATGTATTTTCCAATTTGCTTAGAAAAGTCTCACTGTAAAATCCAGACTTCTCTCATTTTCCCCAAAGAGAAAGTCTTTTTATTCTGAAGAACAACTGAAATTAGATGCTTTGCTCATATCAAATATATGGAGGGATGTGTCCATTAATTATGCTTTAAATTTCTTCCATAGTGATTTCTTCAGTCTCAAGCAAGTGATACGTAACTTTAAAAAGTATCATTCTGCTCCAATTCTGCTTTTTTCCCTATCTTGACTGCTTCCAATTATTTTCCATTCTTAACTTCAAATTTAACTTCATTATTTTCCTTTTCTCCATAAACTCCTCAGATATATTCTGAGGGGAGAACTAGAAAGAACAAGGAGAAGTTATCCTTAAATTGGTGAGTCTAACTGAAAATTGATGATACAGGTGATTCAGTTCAGTTCAGTTGCCCAGTTGTGTCTGATTCTTTGTGACCCCTCGAACCGCAGCACGCCAGGCCTCCATGTCCATCACCAACTCACAGAGTTTACCCAAACTCATGTCCATTGAGTCGGTGATGCCATCCACACCATCTCATCCTCTGTCGTCCCCTTCTCCTCCTGCCCTCAGTCTTTCCCAGCATCAGGGTCTTTTCAAATGAGTCAGCTCTTTGCATCAAGTGGCCAAAATATTGGAGTTTCAGCTTCAACATCAGTCCTTCCAATGAACACCTAGGACTGCTCTCCTTTAGGATGGACTGGTTGGATCTCCTTGCAGCCCAAGGGACTCTCAGGAATCTTCTCCAACACCACAGTTCAAAAGCATCAATTCTTCAGCGCTCAGCTTTGTTCACCATCCAACTCTCACATCCATACATGACTACTGGAAAAACCATAGCTTTGACTAGATGGACCTTTGTTGGCAAAGTGATGTCTCTGATTTTTAATATGCTGTCTAGATTAGCAAGTGTTAACTCAGCTCTGCTATGCCATCACAAATGTGGAAGGGAGGTCATCAATTTCTTTAAGATTCCCTGGCATGCAACCCATGGTGCCTACTATACTGACTGTGCAGGCAATGTGGATATAGTGGAGTAAGATTTGAAACCTCTAAAAGAGAAAATGGCCTGTAAAGATACTGATTAACCCTCTTCTGTAACTTCCAACTGTTTGGCACCTTTCTTCCGCACTAGATCACTAGTTCCATGAAGGCAAGGACAGACTCTACCTTGTTTAGGTTATAAACCAAGTTACCTAGCATGATGTCTGTAGTATGGTAGATATTACTTGATGGAACAATGAATAAAATATGCTCATCTTTCATTTTATTCTTCCTTTTACTTCCCTCTAATCATAGATTTCAAAGTTCATTAGTTTGTTATCTCACTGAGAAAGCTGGGTGGGAGATGCTGGTCAAAGGGTACAATCCTTCATATGTAAGATGAATCAGTTCTGGGGATTTCATGCACAGCATGTTAGCTATAGTTATAAATACTACACTGTATACTTTGGTGGTTCAGATGGTAAAGAATCTGCCTGCAGTGCAGGAGACTTGGATTCAATCCCTGGGTCAAGAAGACTCCTTAGAGAAGGAAACGGCAACCCACTCCAGTATTCTTGCCTGGAAAATCCCACGGAGAGAGGAGCCTAGCAGGCTACAGTCCATGGGGTCACAAGCAGTAGGACACAACTCAGCGACTAGGAGTGCTAGAGACAGTGAGTGATACTTCAAATTGATAAACTGAGTGACTAAGGGTGCTGGAGACAGTGAGTGAGTGATACTTCAAATTGATAAAGAGAGTACATCTTAAACATTCTCACCAAGAGAAAAGGCAACATTGTGAGATGTGTTAATTAACCAAACTGTCATAATTATTTTAGTGGATATATATCACATTATATACTTTAAATATACATATTTTATTTTTCAATTATACTTCAATTAAGCTGGAAAAACTTTAAAGAAAAGAAAGGTAATTTTCCCAGTCCCCTAACCTTCTGCTACCCACATATCTTTCTAAAGTGTAATCCTGGATTTCCTACCTGTTTGTTTTATTTACTCTGCTTAACTCTCCTTTTACTTAATGAATATTCTCTCTACCACAAACTACTGCTCAAAACAATGATTTAAGCCAATCTCCAC